CAGTGGATTAGTTAGGATTTGTTTGGATGCAATGGGCCAAAACCCAGATTCAGAGAAGTTAAGCATCAGAGACCACGTGTTACCTCACATAACTGAAGAGTTGAAGGGTAGGCTTGATTTGAGACGTGAGCAACACCCCTGAGATCCCTCTCAGGTGGGGCCTCTCTCTGGATATGTAGATTTGCAGGCTCACGTCACACAGCTCCCAGGTCAGTGGCACAGAGAGACTCTGTTCCCAACATTTCAAGAAAAATCCCAGTTAAGGGATTTTGCTAGCCCTGGTTGTCCCAGCTGGGTGGTGTATTCATATCTAAACCAGTCACTGTGGCTGGGGGATTGGAATGTTCTGGAATGCTATAGTCTAGCTGAGGTGTACAATGGAATGTGGAGGTGTTGGTCAAGTGAGGCCCTTGGATTGGACACGGAGGAGGCTTGATTCCCTCCGAGGCAAGATGGCGTCCTGTCTCCATGAGAAGGTGCAGCTGGCATGAGCTAACAGGAGTCCCTTATGCTGGTGGAGGAGGTGACAAAGGTCACTGGAACTGTGACCAGGGTCCCGAGGGTCTTTCAGTTGACTTAGGAAACTCAGGAAGAATGCAGACTGGCAGCCCTTCAAGAACACAACTGAATTCAAGAGGCTATCAGGGGCAGCTTCAAAACGAGCTCCAGCCTCTGACACCACCAAGTTCTGGAGAGGAAATGACGGGGAGCCAGGAACCGCATCCACATTTGACCAGCAGCCAACCACAGAGTGGCATATCAGGGTGATGTGGTCAGAGAGGGATTGGCAAACTCTGGGTGTGGGGGAGGCTTTTAAAAATTTTTTTAACCCCAGGGAATCTAGTCTGTATTCATGCAAACCAGGAAATAACTTTGAGGTTCGGATGAATGATTTCTATTCGGTTGTTACAGTGAGCATTGAAGCCAGAGGCACTAGGCAGTAGCAAAGGCCCTCTGAAGCCGAAGCTTATGGTCCTGGTGAGGGGACCAGGCCGGGGGTGGAGGTGGGATTTGGTTGGAAAGTAGGGGAGGGGGATTAACAGCCTGATGGAGTCTTGAAGATTCTCACAAGATTCATAGTTTGGTTGAGGATTTGAAGATGATCTGTGATCTAAAAATAGATTTCCCAAACTGCAGTATTCTTAGATTCACCGCCTTCTGTAAAATTTCTGCCGTTCCTCGCTGACCGTACCTGGGATGGATCTTGTCCCTCATGTCTGGGATTTCTGAAATGTCACTTCTTCATTCCATCAGCCAACATTACAGCCTGGGCTTCCCGAGGAAGGACCACAGCTTCCCCTGGAGTGAACATTCCCATGATGCCAGCTCCTCTTTCCACCCCTGAGCTCCACCTGTGCCTGTGGGTGCCTCGAGGTCACCTCAAACTCAACCTCCCAATGCCACATTCCCCATACCACTCTCCCCCAACCCTCTGCTCTTCTAAGCTTCCTTGTCTTAAGAGATGGCTCCTCCAGCCACCCGCTGGCTCTAGCCCACACCCATGGACATTTCACTCACCTTTCCCCCAAAATTCAGCCCCATGCCGAGTCCTGCTGATCTTCCCTCCAAGCTGCACCTTGAGCGCACACCACTCTGCATCTCTCCAGCTGCACCATCTCTCTCCAGGACTAGTTCCTCCCATTCTGTACCTGATCATCTGGAATAACCATGTTGAAGCACACGTGACATCATGCCTCTTTGATGGGAGAGGTGGACTCCCTATGGCATTTAGAACGACAGGCAGGCTCCTTGCGTTATTTAGTACAAGTCCTGCATGTTAGTTCCTCCCTACCTTTCAGATCTCATCTCACCTTTTCCCTCTCCCTCCTTCTCTGTGCACTGGCCACCCTGGCCTTCATTTGAATCCCTCCAAGCATGCACCTCTTCCTGGTCCTGGGCCTTTGCACATGCTCTGCTTTCTGAGGACACTGCCCCTTCCTCAGCCTCTGCCTCTCCCCTGGCTCCTTCTCCTCCTCATGCTCAGTGAAGTCCTCAGTCAGGCTTCCAGCCCCACCTTCCCTCCACTCAACTAGGGTCTCCCCTTTTCTCTTCCTTCATGGGTCCTACCATCATTTGTCATCGCATGTGTCTCCCATGAAGGTGGGGACCATGTCTGTCTTTGCCATTGCTTCATATGGACGCCCAGCAAGCACCTAGCAACCTCTCAGTCTATACTGACCACTGAACGGACAGGCAGCGGAATGTGAGTGTGCATGATTGGATACTATTTTGAGCTACCATTTCATCCATATTCAAGGTAGCAACGTGCATTCATGTCACGGGGCTCCGCCTGAGTAAGTGTACATCTAAATGAGGATTTTACATCTTCAAAAAACTTGCTATTTCCTGGAAACAGATTGTGTCTCTCTGATTGTCTATTAAGTTTTTTTTTTTTTTAAACTGCTGAAGATCTTGGAACCAAACCAAAGTCATCTGCATTTCCATTTTTATATCTTAATTTATAAACTGTGCCTTATAATTTACAAGCACTCGCTTACTGAGTGTCTTCAGCAGAGCCGAAACAAATACCAGCTCTGCCAGCTCCCTACTGCAGGCTTCTCTCCGCACTGTGTTCTAGGATGAGCCAGAGCTGGCCTGAGTTGCCGAGAGTAAGGACAGTAATAATGATGATGAGTCACATTTATTTAGAGAAGAGAGAGAAGTCTTTTTATCCCCATGAAACAGGTAAGGGAAGAGCAGCAGGAGGTGAGAATGACATGAAGGAGGGTTTGCTTGTGAGAAGTGGAGCCCGGCCTGGAATCTGTGCCTCTAGAGTTCTCCAAGGATCTGTTTAGGTCACTAGGCCACATGCTAGTGACATTGTGGGCCAGATCATTCTTTGCTGTGTACTCTAGGATGTTCAGCTGCATCCCTGGCTTCTACCACCCCTCGGTGACGATCACAAATACATCCAGACATGGCCAAGTATCACCTGTATCATGCTCAATGGAAAACCAGGGTGCTGGACTGTGACCCAGACCTTGATTAAAATGCAGGCTCAGGAGCCAGGAAAGCTCCCTTTTTCCAGGTGAGGAAACAGAGGACAGAGAGGGCCTGGCTTTCTCAGCATTACATAGTAGTACACGGCAGGCTGGGTGCCAAACCTAGGCCTGTCTGGTTCTGGGGCAGAGCCCACTTACCTCCCCGGACCTCCAGCAGGCTTCAATGCAGATCTTCTTGTCCTGGGTTGGCAGGAAGTGCTACATTTGTGAAGCCTCATCTCTACCACTCTGTAAAGCAGCAGCCCCTTCTTTAGAAAGACACATGCATGATGTTGGGTCCCTGTATCTGTTGCTGTCCCCAGACCCAGCAGCCAATTTTGGAGTATAATCCTTCTGGCTGGGTCCTGAGTGACCTCGGGCAAGAAAAAACATCTTGGCGCTCAATTTTCCTATCCATAAAATGGGAAGACTCACTTCCCAGGGTAGATGTGAGAATAAATGATAAATGTAGCTTGGTTTGCATGGATGCGAGGTGTCGGGTAAATGGTGGCCGCAATGAACGTCCAACTCCCTCCATGAAGTTTCCTACAGTGAGTTCACCTTACATTTCTGAACCTCTTCTGGAAGGTCTGTGCCCTCCATGTAGCCCTGTACAGTTACTCCTTTAGGGCTACCTGCTGAGCTAGACTCAGGCTCCCTGAAGATAGGGCCTGCTCCTCTGTCCCCTCTCACAGTGCTCTGGTGTGGTATTTTCCTGGGGGATGGTGCTATAAATAATTGTGAAGAAGTAATAGCCCTAAACTTTGGTGCTGGGCCTTTCTTGGGTATTGCTCCATATCAGAAGTGGTTTCCTTGGTCTGTAGCCTCAGGATGGGGCTCTGGACCCCCCCCCCCCCCCCATTCAGCAGTGTGGGCTACGGGCCACTGTTTGGGTTCTGCTTTGTGTTTTTCCTTGATTTCCCCAGCTGCGGGCTAACTCAAGATCATATGACAAACTCAAGGAGTGCCAAAGGGACTCAGTGGGGCCAGGTAACCAATCCCCATCCCAGGCCAAATCACTTAGACCACAGGCCCTGTCCTGATGCCTTCTGGCTCTTTCCTTATCAGCAAATCAATCTGCCTCAAACCATCAGCAAAGATTAAGCAGCAGTTCCTAGACGCATCACGCCCTGGGTTCCCATCAGTTTGCATCCCCTGTTTAGTGGGGTGGTGGGCTGCCGGATAAGCCACCTTGCTGAGTGAGGGAAAACTTTTGCAGGCTTTTTGTCAAGCTCAGGCAGGGCCCAGAGTGACAGAGGCGCATACAGCTGTGGCGACTTCCCTTTTCCACAAGCCTTCAGCTTGGGCGAGCGCTTGGTTCCAGTAACCAGATGCCATGGAGCCAGAACCCAGTGCCCTCTCAGAAGACAAGCAAAGCCACCCTCGCTGAGCCCCACGGCTCACTTCAAAATCACTAAAGGTTGCTCAAAAGTCTGGACTCTTCAAAGCTCCCGGGGCAGAGTCCCCTCCCCACTGAACGCCAGTTCTCCCTGTCCCTACTTTTTGGGGCTCACATTGTGGCCAGGCTTTAAGGACTCAGATCTCCCCCACCTTCTTTGCAGCCCGTGGAGGGACTGCGGGCATCTGATCCTCTGCGGTTCGGTCAGACTCCCAAGGGGTCTCGGTCCGGGCTGGCCCCTCCCCGGAGGTCCCCCAACTTTTCCCTGTCGCCCTCCGGGGCGCGGCGGCCCCCTCCCCCCCGGGGCGGGCCTGGCCGTGCGCTACTCATTGGCCAGCGGGGCTGCGGGCGCGAGTGCTGATGTCAGGCGGGCGCGAGTGCGGCGGGCGCAGCGGCGGCGGCCGCCCAGCAGCCCGGGCTCGGGTGGGGGCGCCGAGTGGGGGTGGCGGCCAGCATGCTGCTCGGCTGCGGCTCGGCCTCCCACACCCGCGGCGCCCGAGTCCTCGCCAGCAGCGGCCGCGGCCGAGCAGCGAGCGGCGCCCGGGTCTGCAGCGGCGCCGGGTCCGAGCGCGCGGCGCGGCGGCGGGGGTCGGGGCCGGGCCGGGGACCGGGGACCCGGCATGGCGCTGCGGAGAGGCGGCGGCGGGGCGCTGGGGCTGCTGCTGCTGCTGCTGCTGGGCGCCGCGTGCCTGATCCCGCGGAGCGCGCAGGTGAGGCGGCTGGCGCGCTGCCCCGCCACTTGCAGCTGTACCAAGGAGTCCATCATCTGCGTGGGCTCTTCCTGGGTGCCCAGGATCGTGCCGGGCGACATCAGCTCCCTGTGAGTGGGACCCCTCCAGCCCCCACCCCGCCCCACCCTGTGCCCGCCGCCGCCAGGGAGTTGCCTCTGGCGCTGGGGCAGCGCGCCGGACCCCTCTCACCAGTCCCTGTTTTGGCATTTGGGTGCGGGAGCGCTAGGGACGTGGGTGGAGTCTCGGTTCCCAGGAGGATGGAGGGACCCTGAGCTCTAGAGTCTGGAAACCCAGTCAGGTCCCCGTGACAGTATTTCTCAAAGTGTGGCCCGCGGTCCACCTGCATCAGTCCCACCTGGGGGATCTGGTGACAGTGAAGGATTGGGGCCCATGGAGAGGTAGGGTCTGTGGAGTGGAGCCTGAGGGTCGGCGTTTGGCGTCCACTTGTGATTCTGGGTTGCAGCGTTAAACTTTGACAGGCTGTGTTTGTGCTTGTGGGGTGGTGGGTGTGTGGTTGCCAGAGGAGCAGCAGAACCCGACTGGATGGGGTGCAAACTAAGACTCGATGAGTCTCCCTGCCCCACCTCACAGTGGGGCTGAGGTTGGCACTGTGGCCTCCTCCTCCCTCCACACTGCAGGTTGAGAAGAGCCTGGGAAGGCATGCAGCCTCTGGAAGTGGAGGCCACCCCACGTGGCCTGAAGAGGGGGCTCCGAGATCTTGGCGGAGCCCCGGGATGTGGGTTGTCCAGCTCAGTGTCAAGGGCAGGAAGTCAGCCCAGTTCTTGTTGAAGTCCAAGGGTCTTCTTGCCCTTCCTCCCCTCACATTGTGTTGCCTGCTTTTCCAGCTCTGGAGTGAATGACTAGGAAGGGCTTGGCACTGCTTGTTCCCCTGCTAAGAGAGGCTTTCAACTTGGGTCATACAGCCACTCAGGTCCAATGACTAGCCGTCCTAATGGCTATGGAAGGGCTCTTGGGCCATATCTACTACCAGGACATCTCCCTTGTTGCAGGCCCAGGTGCTGGGGTGCCCCCTGGGTTGTAGAAGAGGGAGTCCTGAGAGTGACGTTACCGTGCTTGCTCATGTACAACATTCCCCTGCCTTTGTCCAAGGCCAGACCCGGGCCTGGACCTAGGAGCAGGGGCATCCTGTTTGCATTTATAGGAAGTCAGGAGAGTGTGGCTGGAAGAACAGAAGGCTTGTTTGATTCTTACTGTTGCCAAGTCAGGTGACATGGAGGATTCCAGAAATTAGAATTCCCCTTGTTAAATCCTTTAAACCAGCAGCTGCTTAATTGATCTGCATGTTAACGGAAATAAAGTATTGAAGTCCTGCTGTGGCCAGGAAGGGAAGGGAACCTGGGGGCAGAACTAGAGCCAAGCTTCTTGCCCCCGAGTTGACCGTTTCATCTGGCAGATGGCATTGCCTCCCCCGCACAGTGGAGTTCAGGTGTCTTTTGAGTTTTCCCTCAAGGCTTTCACGGTGCATTTAATCAGAAGTGCTCTGAGTGTCTTTCAGAGACATGCTCCCAAGGGGAATGCTTAATTCTACCCCAGAGTTTCGTGGGCCAACATTAACTTTGTGTCTGCACACACAGAATCTTGGGCAGAGGTGAAGTAATTATCCATTTGCAGCCGGGGCCTCCTGTAGTTAAGCAAAGGAAGCCTGGGGATTGATTGGAGCTGACTGAGCTAATGTCTCTAAAGGAAGCCAGACCGATGGTGCAGGTGTCTAGTATCCAGACTAGTTTTCATATTGATCAAATGCATTGGCAAGAGGCCCCACTCTTCCTATTCCTACCCCGGGGAAGCTGATGGCCTCGTGTGGTAAGCCTCATTGAGAGGAAGAGTTTGAAGTGCAGGTGGAGGGTCAGGCGGATTGTCCACCCCGCCCGCACTTCCTGAAAGAAACCCAGGCCTTCTTTTGTTCTTTTTTTGCCTGTAGGAGCTTAGTAAATGGAACTTTTTCAGAAATCAAGGACCGAATGTTTTCCCATCTGCCTTCCCTGCAGCTGCTGTAAGTATGGAAAGTTCTCTTTGCAAAATGGGGTTCCCTGAAGTGTGGTCCTTGAAGGGTGGTCTCTGCCTCTTTGGTGTCAGTCCTTCCTGAAATCCCCTAGCTGTCTCTTGGGGTGCACTGGCCCCAGGGTATCTTCAACAAAGTATCAAGGCTCCTTGCTCCAGGTCCTCTCCCGACTTTGGTCCATGCTGTCTTCCAGGACTTTGTTGTAGATTCGACTTCCAGATTCAGCAACTGGGCAGGTGATTACACCAATCATGATGAGAATGAAGTGTTCCCCAAACATCTCACTTTAAAAGAAACTTACTTTTTAAGGTCTTAATATTACCCTGGAAATAGGAGCATTTCTAGTTTATCCATTAAACAGGCAAGAACGTAGTATGCATTTATGTGCTTCATTATATCTCATGAGCATATCATCTCTCTGAAGAGGGTATTTTGATTTTCCCATTTGACAGATGAGGAAACTGAGGTCAGAGAATTAAGTAACTTACCAAAAAAAAAAAAAAATCACAGATTCTAACCCAAAACTCAAAGACCTCACTCATAACTACTCTTCGTCCCAGCACTTCTTGGTGAGCAATGCCCAGGTCACTGTGATAAGTGACGTTCAGTACCCATAACCCAGGTCAGCTAATGTTTGTTAGTGAAGACAAATGTCCAAAAAGCAGTTCTCCAAAGCAGATCATTGCCAGAAAAAGTCAAGTACACAGCTCATTCTCTTTATCATATTAGTTTCATAAATTTGATATGAGATTGTAAACTAAAGCAAGCAATAAGCTACAGAAAGATATACAGAAATGTAGATCATTCCTCCTCCTAAATAAACGGACTGTGGATACTTTTTCTTGAAGTGTTATGTGTCTACTTACAACATTATGCTTTAAAGCTGAATTCTCTTAGAATTGTAATGATATTAGAATGAACTTTCTCTACCATGGTAGGAGTATAAATATAAATTTAGGTATTCTAAGTGATTACTATAGACTAGATAGACTTTTACCAAATAGAAAACTATATAATGATGAAGAGTCTTCTGAAGACTTCTTAAACTTTTCTGACATTTTTCATGGAAATGTATAATGTAGTAGAAGGTACTTCCCCCCACCACCAACTGTGTGACTTTGGTTAAATCACTAAACTTCTTTGGGTTTGGATTTCCCTAAAAATAAAGTTGGATGAGATCCTTCTAGGTCTATGATTCTATGGTTTCTTGTGTATTATAAAGCATTCCCTAGCTGTTCAGCTGTGCCTCACCTTAGAATTATCAGCTCATATTTACTGAGAAACCCAGGGGTGAGAGGTGTAGAGTATTGGAAATGACCAGAAAATTTGGCCAAAAGGAACCCACTCCCTATCGCCTGTATCAGTAGTGTGGAAATGAGGCTGGGGACCTAATGGGCTGCTCTTGGGCTGAGAACAGCCCAGGTTTGCCTACAAATCAGAACACAGCAAAAGAAACAGAAAGGGCTGTATCACATGGCTCAGGCATTGCGTCTCTGCCTTGATATCTGTCTTATTTTCAGACTGCTGAATTCTAACTCATTCACCGTGATCCGTGACGATGCATTTGCTGGACTTTTCCATTTGGAATACCTGTAAGTGTGGTGATTGTCTGCTCCCAGAGTGTTCTGTCTCTTGGTGGCTTGCTGGATTGTGTCCTAAGCTAGGACAGCATCTCTGGTGGGTCTTCAAGTGAAGTAAACCCTATTCTCTTTTCTGCACCAATTTTTGAGAGTTTCCTTGCTTGTAAACACGCTGGGGGAGGCTGGAGACAAAGAGCGGGGAAGCAAACAAAGAGGGAAAGACATTCATTCATTCTCTGGTGACATTTAATTTGTGGTGGAGTAAGCAAAATTGGAAACTGCGATGGATATTTTTACCTCTCATAACCAGGCATGGATTTGCTGATTAGTTAGAAATAGGGCTGAAGGGTTCTGAGGGTTACTTATTTTTAAACAAAGTTTCCCTATTTGGGGGTACAACTCTGTTCTTTATCCAGCTCTTCCATGTCCCGTATTCCGCAGTATTTCCTGTGGATTCTGCTGAGTTGTATTTTCTTTTCCCCTCTATAAGAAAAAAAGGTGATTGTCCTGCTCTCTGGATGTGTAGTTTTTATTTTTATTTTTCCTAGCAACAAACTTTGCCTTGTTCCGGTTTCTGCACCAGGACACCTTGTCTTTTTCCCCCTAAATTCTTTCACTCTGGTATTCCGTAAATCTGTCATAAAGCTAATCCTGCCATCAGATAGGATTTCCTTACTTAGCATTCAGCGGGATTTTTAAGGCTTTCTTATTTGATGTCAACAGGTAGATGTTGGAATTCTAGACACATCTGGGTATAGGGAAACTTTCTGTTGACCTGGGGTCTTGGGGAATGAGGAATTCTTCCCCTAGAGTAGATGTGATTTGGATGCTGTGATCATGTGGTACTCTGGCTTGTACGTGATACGGAAAGAACGGCAGGACCCCGTTGCTAATTCCAGCCAACCCCAGCCTCTCTGAAGGCACACACTCGGCGAGGGAGGTACAAAGGGGAAGCTGTGAGTTTTCCCAGCAGGCAGTTCATCTCAGTGGCCAGGTCACTGGAGAGGAAGTGAGCTTGTCAGTTTATGCTGTAGTCTATTACTAAAGAGACCCCAGATTCTTTTTTTTATTTTTTATTTTTTTAAGGCATCAGGAAGTTCTCAGTGTGAGGATCAAGAACCCGTTCACAGATCTAGCAAAGCCCCTTTCTTGGACCGCCTCATCAAAGGCCCCCTGACAGTTGACGTAATGCAAAGCCATAAACTAAAACTTAGTTCTCTGTGGCCCTGGGGAGTCGTCACAGTACACTCACGCCCTGTCTTCCCCACAGAGTTGAAAGCACCACCAGTGTGATGGTTGCAAGCAAGCCCTGCACCATTTTAGCACAGATAGAGAAAGCCAGCCCTGGTTCAACTTCAGCACACTCCCTATTCCTCCTGGCACAGATCTGGAAAGGATCCCTGCCTCTTCACCCATTTGCTTGGAGGGTGGGACTTGAGGAGCTCAAGGTTACTGGGAAACAAGCTTAACGGAACTTTCCCTCCTCAAAAACTTTAATAGCACCATGTAGAACACTGGAGTCTCCTCAAGGGACTGTGATATTGTGGACAGCCAGGCACTGTGAAATGCAAGCAGAGCTGAGCTGGCTGGGGGCATGTCTGGAAGCTCTCCGGTCTCGCGGAGATGAGCATTTCTTGTCTTTGTCCCATGCACTCCCTACCCCATCCCAACTCTGAGTTTGAAGACTTCCGTGCTGTCCGGAAGGAGGGAGTGCAGACACGCTCGTGTGCCTTGCTCCCACGTGGACTTTGCTGCGACTGACTTAGTCTTCAGAGACGTGATGATTCATGAATGCTTCTAGATTTTTCTCCAGAATCATACCAGGATCACTTTTTTAGACATTTTCAGAAGAGGAAATTCAGTTGAATTATGCGACTTTCCTCCCCTAGGTTCATCGAAGGGAACAAAATAGAAACCATTTCAAGAAATGCCTTCCGCGGCCTCCGGGATCTGACTCACCTGTAAGTCCTGTAGCAAATGTCACCCGTCCTTTATTGTGTGGAGTAGGACTGGCCCTGGCATGTGTCTCTGTCTCCATAGTTCCATACTGCAACGTCCCCCGAAGGAGACTCACCTCCTGGCTGCCCAGGTTTTCTGCTGTGGAGCAGACCGTGCTCTTTGTGGTTACCAACACTTGGCTTAATTACCTTCTCCATCCCCTGCATCGCAGTTGGGATCACGTGAAGTGAGGAGCCCTGAGCTGTGAGGGGCCTCACAGCTGGGTGGAGGAAACGGCAAGGGGGCTAACATGCGTCCTGCACCTACTTGTGTCAGTACAGGGCTGGGGGCCTATGAGCCTTCTCCTCTCTTTTCTGTGATAATCTGTGAGTCCCCCTTGTACAGATTTGAGAACTGAGGCATAAATAACTGCTTACAAAATGTCAGAGACGGGATCAGGGCACTGGAGTGGTGGCTCAGAGGTAGAGTGTTCGCCTAGCATGCGTGAAGCGCTGGGTTCGATCCTCAGCACCACATTAAAAATAAAATAAAGGTATTGTGTCCACCTATAACTAAAAAAAAATTAAATATGTGATCAGAATTAGGACCAAGCAGAACAGAAACATCTTCACGGTTCCTCTCATTTGAATGCAAATCACTTTTTCTTTTATGTTGGATTAATCTGCGGGTTCAGCTAAGCTCTCGGATTCCTCAATAGCTTTCTGGAGACAAAAAAAAAATATTAAATTGATTTGAATTGGCATATCAAAATGAAGCAAGTACACACATTGAGCAAATTTATACAACTAGAAAAAAGTAGTGGCTGTATTTATGAAAATGCAAAAATAGTCCTTGTCTTGGTGAGGGTGATTTATTAGGCAGGAGCCAGGTTCCGTTGGCACGCTTGATATTTGTGTCTGAGGAAGATGACAGGTCTCATCAGCACTGGGAAATCTGAAGGGCTTTGGGTGTGGACATTGGGCAGGGAGGGCAGTACCTTTGGGTGTGACCCTGAAAGATAATGGTCTTCGAGACAGCCATCACATCAAGCCCCGATGCTGGCCGGGGGGCCGGGGGGAGTGATCTGTCTTGGGCACAGGGAGCCCTGTTTGGAGGGCTACCTGGCAGAACTCCGCAGGGGGTTTCTGGAGCAGGGAGGTGGGGTGCCATGGTGAGAGACAGGACACCTGGATCCACCCGGCCATGCTGGAGAGCGCAGGTTCTCTTTGACATTCTGCCTCCAGGTTTCCTTTTCTTCCTATAAAAGCCTTGACTTGTTTCCGATTCAGTCTAGACGCCAGATCCCTACAGTCTTGTAGAGGCTAAGATTATGGGCTTGGCGTTCCATAGACTTGGGCTCAAACCTCAAGGCCATCACTGATTCATATTCCTTATTCTTAATAAGAGGATGATCGTGCTGACTTCGTAGGGTTGCTGCAGGTAATGACGCTGGTGGCACCCAGCCCATTCCTCATGGGGAACGCTCGAGGTACGGTGGACCTCAACACCATTGTCAATAAACGTGGTGCCCGCCTTCCACTCATTAAGTCTCGATTTCTCCACGGACTGCTAGATAGCCTTGGAAGATTGGGTGTCCACACGGGGTTTCTAACTGGACAGCTGAGGTGTCTGGAGAGGGCAAGCCTGGCTCCCAGAAGTCAGGACTGAGGGGCTTTGTTTTTAAGTAAGCCTGTGTGACTGACTTAGTCCAGATGGCCACTTCATTTGTCCAACTGGCTACTGTTCCTCCCTCTGGGGAGGGCGTACATACCCTGGCAGGTCCTGAGTGTGGATTTGCTATCTCTGTGCTTGTGCGCCTGTGGGTACATGGACATTGATATGTGTGTGCATGCCTGTTTGCGTGTGCATGCCTGTGAATTATTTCACGTGTTATCCTATGTGCATGCTTACAAGACATACCTCCTTCTCTGTGTGACATCCAGAGAGCGCAAATTCAGAAAGAATGAGGGAATCCTCCACGTGGGTCCAGGGTATTCTAGATGCATTGGAGGGGAAGCAGGCTCATCTCAGCTGGGAGGGGGAAATCCCCAGGCCCCCCTCTAGCTCTCCAGCCTCAGTACCCTGGACATCCTGAGAACACGAGGCTTTCCGTGTGCCCCCGCATGCCCCACTCATCTTATGACAGGACTTTTCCTCATGCCCTTCCCCGTGCCTGCGATGCTACTTCTTCTGTCCTCAATTTCCTAGAAACGCCTTCTCCTTCAAAGTATAAATCAAGTCCAAACGCTTCCCCCATGAAGTGCTTCCTGATTTCACTTGTCCCCCCTTCTGCTGGCTACACACACACACTGTTATGCTCTACACCAGCCACCCTGGCTGAGGTTTCACGATGCTGGTCCTGGCTCCCCAGCAAGGGAGGAAGCCCCCTGAGGACAAAGCCCTTGCACACCTTCCACAAGCCCTCAGAATCCAGTTCAGGGCAAATCCTGTAGGAACCATTTTGTGATTAGTTGGTTGAGCAGTGGATTTCTTACAGAGCTGGATTTTTTAGTGTGCCCTGTACTTCCAGGCAAATCTGGTGACGTTAAAGTTGCTCCTCTAGGCTGCAGATGTATTTAGAAATAAACACATTTAGTACAGTGTTTAATGAATGAGCTGGTCCCCCTCCTTCCGTTTTTATTAAACCTCTAATGAAGAGAAGACACCAGTTCTGAAGTTCACTTTTGCGCCCGGGACAATGTGGCTTGAAATTGGCCTGTTTAAATTAGAGATCTGATATTTTTCCCCCCAGCACCTTCAGATGCACATTCACATGTAAAAAAACATAGATCAGGTTTCAGAGCATTGAGAAGCCAGGCCAATCTGTAACTAAAATCTAGGACATTGGTTTTCAGCAGTCCTGTAACGCCCGAGGGACAGAGAGCTGTTAAATAGTTTCAGAAATGAAGTAAGTGCCATGAATTTGTAGACAAAATGAAGTAGGGAGGGAGATGTTAAGCACTTAGTGTGAGTGGGGTGGATGACCCTCTAAATAATTCTGCTTTGGGAGCTCTAAATTGCATTCTTGGAACGATCACTGAATGCACTTTCTGTGGCTTTAGTATTCCGTATGTTCTTATCCCTTTGATGCAAACTTTCTGTCAGCCAAAATTTTCAGCTCAATAATTAACCTTTAATTAGTCAAAACCCTTTCTTACTTTGCTTTCCAGAAAAAGCCATCATCCACCATAAAAAATCAAAACACCCCCTTTTTTAAAGTTCAAAAAGCTACTTCTACACTGGGTTCAGTTTGATCACATCTACAGCCTCTTTCCCAATGCATTTCAAAATATAAATCATTTAGAAAAAAAATGTAAAATAGTACCTGCAACTGGATTTTAATCCATTTGCAGTTACATGGATGGGAAGGGGTGCAATTTAGAAACTACAAATCTCCTCATATTGAAGGAAGACTATTTGGTTTAAGAATGGTTAAGCCAGATGTGGTGGTGTACACCTGTAATCCCAGAGGCTCAGGAGGCTGAGGCAGGAGGATCATGAGTTCAAAGCCAGCCTCAGCAAAAGCAAGGTACTAAGCAAGTCCGTGAGACCCTGTCTCTAAATAAAATACAAAATAGGGATGGGGATGTGGCTCAGTGGTTGAGTGTCCCTAAGTTCAATCCCTGGTACCTACCCCCCAAAAAAAGAATGATTAAAAAAAAACCCTAAGTAAATCAAACCCAAACAAAAACACAATGGGCACATCTTTTGAGTCCGCCAAGCTAACTGACTCTAAGAAGAAACAACATGTCTTTAGTCATCTTGGTGGGGTGGGTCCTTAGGATGCTATGAACAACTTATTTCAGCTATATTTGTCTATTAACTATGCTTTGTCATTTGTTCTTGAATTAATAAGAGAAAACAAAAGTAGGCACCAGTTTCTTAGCAGACTCCCACAAGCACGTGGGGGTTGGCAAAACCAGACTTGATGGACAGCGTTTGGATTCCCAGCGTCTTTCCATTGACAGCCCTGTATAATGGATGTCCACCTTCAGCAAGATGGTGGCAGGGCATTGCAGGATCCTGAATCCTCAGGAGGAGTTCATGTTTCCACGTGGGTCTACTTCTGGAGGTGGGGCATAGACCAGGGCATCTTGGGAAGATCTTCAACACTAAGGACAAGCATGCACAACAGTTTCTCCTCAATCTTTGTTAACGAGAAAATGAAATTGCCATTACCAGTCATTCCCTAAACATTATGACTCACTGAGTTTTTATTATATTATTCTTGAGTGTTACAGCTGAGAGTCTTTATGTAAAAGAGTGTACATTGGGTTCTTCATAGAGTCACAAGTGATAGAATTCACTTAGGTGGACTATTAGGGAACCTCCTGGGGCCAGACTATATCCATCTTCTGTCATCACTGTCACTTGGGTGCTTAATTCATTCATTCAACAAAGAATTTATTGAGAATCCACCATGTGCTGGGCAATGTTCTAGGAACTGGGAATATAGCTAGGGACAGACAGACAATCATCTCTGTGTTCATGTTGCTTCTGTATGCGGAGGGTATATGGCCAATAAACTAATAATTAAAACAGATAATTAAAATATGGAGCGTGCCAATGAGAATCTTTCAATGAAGATCAACAGAGTCGGGAAGAGAGATGTATAGAGGTCAGGGAGGGTGGGAAGAGTTGAGTGCAGACCTCAGGAGGCAGACTGAGCTGTGTCTATGTCTGGGGAAGAGTGGCCCAGACAGTCCCACAGGTGCCCAGCCCTGGAGGCTGCTGGGGGAATCCCGTGGAGGTCATGTGGCTAGATCTGAACAGTGTGAGTTGTGCTCTCGTAGGTGAGCAGGGACAGTCCTGCACACCATCAAAGGGACTTTTCCAGGAAACAGCCATCTGAAGTTTAACAGATGTGCATAAACAGCTTTATAAATTCTTATTTTAAAAGCAAACACAAGCTTGGTTCAGTGGTGCATGCCTGTAATCCTAATGGCTCAAGAGGCTGAGGCAGGAGGATCATTAGTTCAAAGCCAGCCTTAGCAACTTAGCAAGGCCCTGTGTCTAAATAAAGTACAAAAAAGGGCTGGGGATGTAGCTTAGTGGCTAAGTGACCCTGGGTTCAATTCCCAGTACTAATAATAAATAAATAACATACACAAAAAGGCATCCCTGGTAATCTGACATCTACAACGTTATCTTTGTGTAAGTGAGCTCATGTCTTTCTCCCAGTGCTGATGATCAAGGCCAGGAATTAAGCCATGCTGTGATGAGGAGGTCGAGAGCTATTTAAGTCATTAACTATATTTACAGGGACTTCAGAGTGTCAGGGCGTGCAGATGATAACCACATTATAATGTGACTCTCTGTTTCTAGTTCTTTGGCCAATAACCACATTAAAGCGCTACCAAGGGACGTCTTCAGTGACTTAGACTCTCTGATTGAACTGTAAGTAATGAGATTAAGTCTGTGTACACTTGTCATGGGGTCCGGGTTAATCGTATCTTCCAACACCTCTGCTTCTTGCTGCATTTCTTTTACATTGTCGTTAACAATCGATAGCAAGTAGTACGTCCTGGGAAACCGTGTGCGGTTTGCCCTGTGCTGGATTTTGCCATTTGATAGTAGACTTGGTACCATTAGGCCAATGGTAAGTTAGGCCTGCTGGATGGGAGGACCCCACTCTCCCAAACAGCGAGTCCATCTGCTTTATCTTGTGGTGTTCCTCACGTCTTCCTGGACATGGTTTGATAGGATCTTAAGCTTCTTCCTATAACATCCTGTTTTGTTTTGGGGAACCTACATTGTGGGTGTCCTTCTATTGTCCCTCCCCCATTTCCACATGGTGACAATTTCAAGAGGGTGGGAGGAAAGGTGATATGCCATTTCTGGGAACTGTCTGTATATTATACAGCTAGAATCATGCCCCAAGAAGCACTAGATAAGGACAATGATAAACAGAAGAGATAGGAAGCATGAAATGCCCTTTTAAAAAATTCTGTGTTTAAGGAGTTTAAAGTATGTCAGGCTGTTAATACACCTACGTCACTACCAAAGCATATCAAGTCTCTCTCTCTCTCTCTCTCTCTCTCTCTCTCTCTCTCTCTCTCTCTCTCTCTCTCTTTCCAGGGATTTAAGGGGTAATAAGTTTGAATGTGACTGCAAAGCCAAGTGGTTGTATCTGTGGTTGAAGATGACCAATTCCACCGTCTCCGACGTGCTGTGCTCTGGTCCACCAGAATACCAGGAGAAGAAGCTGAACGAGGTGGCCAGCTTCGACTACGAGTGCACAACCACAGGTACCAGCACCTGCCTTGCCAAAGGTGGACATTTAGAACAAGCCCTTCGATTTCCTTGTAGGTTGTCAACAGGGTGCCGGGAAATGAGAATGCAGAGGTTTCCTACCAAAGCTAGAGAAAGTTCCAGCATTCTATAAGAAATGAGACCACGTGGTGGGCAAACTTTCTCAACTGTTTGGAAAGATTCTTGTTAACTGCGCTGCTTTCATTTTGATTCTTTACAAAATTCAAAGTTCTCTAAAGTTTTCTTTCTTTCTCTTTTAAGATCAAAATATGAACTCAGGAGTTTGGCATGAGAACATCTTTCAAGTCTGTCTCTGTTTCATGGGAAATCAGTCACACACCTGAATTATTTTGTCTTTACCTTTCTCCTGATTCACTGAGACAATGTTTATTGGAAGTTGAATACCAGACTTCTAAATCTATAAAATGCTCTTGTAGTTCCAAGTAAGAAGAGCTCACTAAGTATATTATAATAAGTAGCAAAGAAGAAAATGTAAGTTATCCAAAGAAAAATAATATAAGTTATCAAAAGAAACAAAATCATTGAGAGAAAAATGTAAAGTTCAGTTTTGTTTTTCTAGGCCTGGCCTCAGGGTGTTAGTTTAAACATTTTTCAGGTTATAGAATAGAATTAAAATACCAACTGGCTCAACTGTCACAGCAGGCAGAGAGCAGGTGAGCATCTCCATATGAAAGGCGCAGGCACAGTTTCTACCGCTTCTAAAGCCAGTTTTTAAAGGAGAGAGGATCAATCCACAGCATGAAACCTGCTTTCTAGATGTTTGTAAAAATAAACATTTAGGCTGAGAGTTGGTATCTACAAAGCCCCTAGGCATGTCAGCAGAAGCAGCAGGAATGAGAACTCAGAAAATAGTTGCAGAAACTCAAAAGACACCCAAATTCCATGAAGAAAATATCATCTTGAGGCCAGAACCTGCCAACACCCTCCCCCAGATAAACAAAATTCCACAAAGTGAAAATTCTTTCTAGATGCCTTTGTTTGTAAATAAGGGGCCCTACAAGTTCTCTCTTTTTGATTGAAAGCCTGAAGTCTCATGGGACTGCCCTGTCCTTCATCATTGACTGGGGACTTATTCAGCTGTGTAATTGGCAGGTGCCCTTTAGTCAGCTGAGGCCACTAAGAGGTTATTTATTGTACTGTGGGGCCAGTACAATAAATCAGAGGTCATAGTCAATGACATTTGCACCAAAAGGTGGCATTTGAGATCATTTAGTATGAAATGCTAAACCATAGCTCGCTGGGGCTCCTTTCTGCCTCTTATCTAGTTTTTCAGGGGGGGGGGGGGTTTCTCTAATTCCCAAGGTGAAGGTAGCATCTCCCATTGTTCTGTTCTTACTGAACTGGCCCTAGTGGAGGGAAACTGGCCAGTTTCTGAGAGGATTGACGTGGGCCACAGAGGACCTTGGGAGTAGGGAATCATTCATACAAGAAAACACGATTCCTGGCTTTAGGACCATCTAGATGGTCATAAAAATGACCCAGGTACTGAGAATGATTATTGGAAAGGAGAAGGTTTGGAACCAAGGCCGCCAGGTCTTAAAACAGAACCCGAGGGGCAGCGTGAGACCCCTAACCCTGTAGGGCCATGTCTGTCTTGTGTGTATTTGTCTTTGCTAGCAAGCTTCCTGCCCCGGTTTGGAAAGCCAGCATAGGGCTTTCTGGGAAAGAGAGAGGACAGTGCTATCTTTGCTGTTTTTTTGAGACTCAAGGACACATTAGCTCTTACAGTTTCTCCCATCTGGAAAAGGTGGCACCACAAAGTGTAAACTGTCCCCAAATGTAGTCTCTGCGATACAGGAAGGAGTTGAGTGAATTGTGGAGGTTTGGGGTTCCTGCCTTCTGCTCAGCTCAAGCCCAGGTCTCTGGTGCTTCATCAAAGGCTGGGGAGCAAACAAGGACAGATGGAAGAATCAAAGCCCATGGGCAGCTCAGGGTATGGCTGCTGTCTCCTTGCTAGAGGTTGGGGAAGAAGCAGATTTCCCAGAGCCTTGTTTTCCTCTTAGCTCAGCTTTTCAGGAAAGGAGACAATGTCCTCTAGCAGATCTCCCCATTTGGCCCAGAGAGAGGAAGGCACCATTACGGCTCTGTTTCTTGGCAAAGGGGACTAATTAACACCAGGCAGCCACCACTGGGTGCTCCGGCTCTTCCGATTAATCACAGTTCTTCCAAAGCCTCCCCTTCAAGTCTATTTTTAACTACTCAAAAATCCCTGTTACCTACCTATGATGGCCCGTGTTAGGTGGATGATTCACTAAATTCCTTAGAGGGAGTGAACTTTGCATCCTAATTGTCCTAGGAGCTTCCCCATTTGGGGGCTGACGAAAACGCAAAGAGAAATAATGCATTAATGTGCACTTTCTCTCCCCATAGGCTCAGCATCATGTATAATTTATTTTCTGCCAGTGCTATAAATAGCCTCGTACAAATCTGTTGATTTTCCAGGGGGAGAAAGGCCTAAATTGTCAGAGACCCACTGACATCCTGAACTTAATCCAGTGTGAATGGCCGAGAGTGTCATTAATATTTCAACACCCGTAGATTGATGTCATGTCAGGATGTGTGTTCTTTGAGTTGTCTCCACAAGAATTCTGCTTTGCGGCTTGGGAAAGGTAAATTAAGATGGAGGTGGGAGAAGATATTTGAATGCTTCCCGGCCGCGGCTCTGATGCGCACAGACGTACATACATCCACGAGCTTCCTTTGCCCTTTCCTCCTTCTCTGCCTTCTGTCTTCTCCTTTTATGGCGGGCTGCTGCTGGTGTCTTCTACTAAGAAGTAGCTTTGTCATTCAAGGGACTTAACAGCCTGTGTTGTGCCGGTTAATATAGAGAAAATATGAGGAAACCACTGTTTTGGAAAAATACATTGAACCGGGGCTGCTAAAGGGTAGATCTGGAGAATGCTCGCTCTCCTGGCTGCCTCTTTTCATCCTGGGATTCTTCAATAAAAATGGAAACTTTTCTGGTCTGCACTTTAAACAGCCTGCATTTGAAAGCCAATGCTCCTGTTTCTGAGAACTGAGAGCGCAGTTGGGAGACTAATGGGAAGGCGGAGCATGAGTTATGGCCATCAAGGGAGTGCTTAGAACCTCTGGCAGGCTCCGGTGAGCCCGCTGCAACCAGAGGAGTTTACAGCCGTCCCGGCTGTAATTAAAAGAACTCGCTGCATTTGGAATCCTTTTATATCCCCCAGAAAAGGCGCACCGCATACCTCTCTTTCGTTTATCTACGCGTGAACACAGAAGCCAGCAAAGCCTGTGAGGTCAACCAGGCTTGGTGGCTCCTGCGCTGGCTTTGCTGGTGCCAGCAGGGGTGGCTCTGTTCTTAGCCTTTGATGGAACTGCACTATGATCTTTAGGAGTGGGCGGGGCGGGGCCTGGAGCGGCTGGGACTCTTCCCTCCATCTTCTAGCAGCATCCAGGTGCTGCGGTGGTTGGGTCTAGAAAGCTCGGGAGCAGCCTCCACAGGCCCGCACTGGGCACAGCCTTGGCAAGTTGGCGTCCTCTCATTTTACCATGAGGAACCTGAGGCTCCGTCTTCTTGCTCAAGGTCACACAGCTAACCTCGAGCAGAATAGACTCTAAAGCCTAGTCTGTCTTCACCAGGATGCTCTGCTCGCTCGCTGCTGGGGTGGGAGCTGCCCTGTCCACTAGGGTCACTCGTCCCTCCACTGTCCATCACCTCCGGCCTGTCGGGCTGCGGAGGCAGCTCCCTCTTGGTTCCTAGGGATTCGGCCCACCTCCCACCTCCCTCTTTCCTGCACCGGCACCGTCCTCGGCCGCATGCGCTCTGCTGTAGTCTTTACAATTGGCCTTGACCACCCCCACTCTCATTAAGCGGAAAAGAGTTTATCACGCATCCACTGTGCATCCAGAGTGTGGGGGGGCACTTCTTCAAGTAAACTTGTTGAAGTTCACTTTGTGCTAGGTAAGGGCAGGGCAGTTGAGAAAACTGAGGCAGAGATGGGTTGAGCATTTATTCAAGGTCATTCTGCAAGGAGGTGGCGGTTAAGCGCCAGCATCTTACTTTAGATGTCATTAAAGTGGACACTGCCTCTCTTGGGCTAGGTCTGCCTTGGAAGCTTGCTCTCTCGTCTTGGACCTCAGTAACGCATTTATTAACGTGTGGGGCGCTAAGATAGGCATTTCTACCACATGGCCTGATCTATCCCGCCGTTTCGCCTGAGAGGTCCATGTCCTTGCCCCATGTTGTGCGTGAGAACTGGGGGTTGATCCAAGTGCATGAGACCTGGGGGTGATGTGGCCAGCTTTGGGTCTTTGGTAGTTTCAGATCATCGGCCTTCCTGTGCTTGCTGGTGCCCACCGCAGCCCCGCCCCTCAGCCCTGGTGCTTTCCTCCACCTGCCCTTCCTGTGCCTGGTCCATGGTGCCCACCTCAGCCTGCCCAGCTGCTGCTGGCTCCTTTCCTTCCCCTTGGTGCCTTTCTTGAGTGACATCTCTGATGAGGCTTCCTAATCGGTGGTTGTTTCTTGAGTGGCCGCCGTGGGTTTGAGCTGTAGGGGGCTCAGAGTAGGACCCAGGCCTGACTTCTGGGAGCCCCTGGTTCAGGAAACACATCAATCTGGCTGTGTGGCCAAGCCCAGGTGCTCACCCTCTCGGGGCACTCTTATCTCCAGACTGGACAGAGATGTTATTTTTTTTTTTAAAGAGAGAGAGAGAGAGAGTTTTTTTAATATTTATTTTTTAGTTCTTGGAGGACACAGCATCTTTGTTTGTATGTGGTGCTGAGGATCGAACCCGGGCCGCACGCATGCCAGGCGAGCGCGCTACCGCTTGAGCCACATCCCCAGCCCCAGAGATGTTATTTGAAGTCATGGTAAATAATAAGATTTAAACGATCGTGCCTAGGGTCAGCCCAGCGAGTTTCATGGATTGGGCTGCTTAGGGAAGGCCTGGCAGAGGACATGGCACTGGAATGGGATGGTTAAGCACTGGGTGAGAAGGAGCTGGGTTATTCGAGGGTTTCCTCCTAGGGATGACTCTCCTTAGCTGGCACCCATCATGGCCCCGTGTTATTAAATAGTGGCACACACTACAGCACCTCTGGTCAAAAATGTAGCTCAAACTTTATTTCACAACCTTTATTAGTGTGTGTGTGTGTGTGTCTTAAGCAGACTCCTTCTACTCTACATTTCTGAAGCTACTCTGCACACCAGCTAGCCTTGCTCCCAAGCGCATGCTTGCTCCGTTCCTTGGCAATTCCATGTCCCTTCCCAGTCGGGTATAATACAGAAAGTCAGCTGCAGCTCAGGGCAGCCACCCAGACAGGGATCCTCGACTCACCATGAAATACCAGGAGAATGTGTGCCAGGGTCCAGACCCCAGGACAGCACCTGTAGTTTCACTTCCCCCTTGGCTGGGAAACCTCTGGGTCTGCAGGGGAGGACTTGGTTTGGTTTCCAGATGGCGGCTGCCCTCTGGAGTGCAGTGTCAGTTCTGAACAGCGGGGGCGCTGTTGGGGTGCGTCCAACCACAGGGGATCTCCAGGTAAGTCTCAGAAGCAGGCTGCTTTCCTGCAGGGCTGTGCTGGGAGGGCTGGAGTGGACCACAGCACCCCCTGGTCACAGAGCAATCTGCATGACAGCTTCCAGACTCTCTGCAGCCTCCTCTTGGCCTTGGCTTGTTGAAAGCCAGGTCTCTCACCAGTTTTGTTTAATGTGTTATCTTTTGCCAAACCCATGAGGCTGTTTATCCACAGGAAGCAGCATGAGAAGCTGATGGTCCTCTGCAATCTGCAGAGTAAAACCCTCCAGAATGCGTTGCTTGGCTCCCACACTCCTGCTCCCTCCCCAGGCCTCTGGAACCCGTGATGGGAAGGAGAGAAGGGCAGGGGCGGTTGATGACTCCCACAGGAGAGTTTACGGATCTCATGAACTGTTTTTAATGCCCATCCCCAGATTTTGTTGTCCACCAGACTTTGCCCTACCAGTCGGTGTCGGTGGACACGTTCAACTCCAAGAACGACGTGTACGTGGCCATCGCGCAGCCCAGCATGGAGAACTGCATGGTTCTGGAGTGGGACCACATCGAGATGAACTTCCGGAGCTACGACAATATCACAGGTGCGTTGTGGCTGAGTTGGGCCCCTGAATCATGTCGAGGGAGGACTTGGCACTCTAACGCAGTCGGAGGTGGCACCATGGCAGCCCAGCCTGGTCCTTCCTGTGTCTTATCTGTGTGGTCAGTTATTGGACAGAGCAGAGACCACAGGTGGAGAGCCCGCTGACAGGGGGCAGGGGCCGGGGCTGCATGTGGGAAGCAGAAAGCATTGTGTGGTGGCAGAAGTCCCCCCAGGACCCCGGGACCTGTGTTGCTGTAGCAGCCTGTCTGCCCAGCTTCTTAGCAGCTCCCTAAAAGCTCCAACTTGCGAAGCTAATTAACTAACACGCCCCACACCCACCCACGCCCCTCCAGCTCCTTCCTCCCGACACTGCTCTCCTTTAATAGGAACATACAAAATAAGAACCAACAGATCGCTCAACTTTGGGATTTGGCTTAGTTAAGGCTTCTGTTATGGGATCCCAGGGTTTTAGATCTAAAAAAATGTCTGCTTGCTTTTGAAATAAGTGGATACAATGGAAAAAAAAAAAAAGGCTTTTAGGAACTTCTCAGGGATCAAGTGCAGTCTGATGTGGTGCTAACTTTACCAACAGCCCCCCGCCCCCCACCCAGGGCTTCCTCTCCAGGCCCCTGTTTGGTGTAGAGCAGCTTTCCCTTTAACCTGTGCAGCCGGAGTGTAGGAGGCAGAACATCAGGGTTGGGAGGCTCTAGGGGTCCCTCACGGTGGCCTTGCAGCAGGTGAGGAGGCCAGAGCGCGGTGTCACCCTGGGGAGGCACTGCTCATGGGCCTGCGGATGGCATTTCAGAGGAGCCGCTTGCTGTCGCTGGGCCATCTGGCCTCTGGGTGCTGAGCTCACCTTCCTGAGCAGCAGCCCAGGTGCAGCCTCCAAGTGAGGGGCATGTGGAAGGCCTCCGAAGCCCAGTGTTTCCTGCTTCCCTCTTTTTCTGGACTTGGGAGAGGGGAAGGATGACGGGCTGCTGGGTCTTTTCTCCTCCTGCCCCAGAACAGGAGGCAGGAGCAGCCTGAAGCTTTGCTCCGGCCCAGGGCTGCTGCGGCCTGGGGGGCCCCTGGCTGCTCTCCTGGGCAATCCACAGCAGCCCCTTACGCCGTGGCCCTGGGTCGCCTGCCCACGGGAGGCACCGAAGCCCTCTTTCCAAGAGAGACCTGGGATATCGACCTCAGAGCTGAGGGTTTGACCAGTGGTGAGCGTTGGAGCTCTGCTGGGTGCTGGGAAGTCGGTGTGCCTCTGAGGCGGCTGTCCTCGGTGAATGGGGAGGACGTGTGTCCCCGGGATGTGGGAGGATTCCACACATCAAGTCCTTCCATGTTCATTCAGGGACAGGGCTGGGATGTGTCCCAGTGGCACCCTATTCCTTCTCTGACCCAAGCTGATGTTGGTGGGAGAGGACGGCACTGCCCGCCCCCTACCCTGGGGACATGTGGCAGATGGTGGCATCCCCAAATGCATTCATTCTTCCTTCATTCATTTATTCCCAAACATTTCGTGAGTACTTTCTCTGGGCCAGGTATGTTGTAGGTGCTGGGGACACAGCCGTGACCAAGCGAGATGAAAACCTCTGCCCTAGAGGAGTTTAGATTATAGCGGAGGAGAAAGAGATAGAGAGAGAGACATGGAGAGATTGGGGGGGGAGATGTGGAGAGATGGGGGAGAGAGAGTTCAAAGCTCTGCACTCTGGGGAAAGGGTTCAAAGGTGGAAGTGGAGCCACTCCCCACTCCCCAAGGAGCTCCTACAGGGACTCCGGTCTGCGGCAGCCATGAGGACCTGGACCTGATGGAGCTGCAGTGGTGGTGGGTGAGTGTCAGTGTCCTGGAGTGACCGTGGCCAGGGCCAGACCTCAGGCTAGACCTTGCTCATTACCAGGATTCCTCCAGCCCTTGGTCTCCAAGTCTGAGTCCTTGGGAGCTGGGTCCCCCTGGACCCTCTTGTCACAGCACTGTGGTAGTTGAACTCGGTAGCTCCGACATCAGGCTGGTTTGTGGATATTCTGGCTCCAGCTCTTACCAGCAGGGACAGTGACCAAGTTATTTAATTAGCTTGAGCTCCTTTTACCTGTGAAATGGGCATTTTATGACTTTTCATCTGTAAAATGGGCACAGCAGGGTTTGGACTCCGGGACTCTGGTTAGGATTCATGGGCAATGGGTGTGTGACAGCTCAGTGCCCGGCATGGAGTGACACCACAACAAGCTGGGGACAAAATAGGACCTCTTCCCCCCACCCTAGACCCTGTCTACTTTAATTAAAGCCTCCCTATGACCACCTGAGGGAGGCGGGGCAGGGGGTGGGGACAGACAGGGCAGATCCCCTGGCTGGTTGAGGGAGCGTGGCTGTTGGTAGCTGGAAATGAGCCTGGAAGATCCTACAGCACAGGTGGACACGCAGGGGTGCAGGATCAAGGTGGATGTGGATGCCCCCTCCCCCACTCCTCAGACCAGGTCCCCTCGTGTCATTTTGGGTGGCTGTGGGGTGATCCCTGAGTCAGCAAGGGCTAGGCAGGATTTTCTCAGTCTGTGTCTGTGAGAGTGGGCTCCAAGGACTCAGAGGGGTACCCGCTTCCCCCTTTGGGTTCCTGGTAACCTCGGTGCCAATGGACCAGCTCCAGCTGTCTGCCTGTCCCCAGGGAGAGGGAGGAACCAGGGTCATCATCACGCCAGTGTCTGCCGCTTCTCATTCTCTCTACATCTCAGCTCTCCTGTTTTTGGTTTAGGAGTTTGTTTGCTTTGTGGTGTCGGAAGCTATGTGTGTTCCAACCTGTTCTCTCTCTCCCTACACACACACACACACACACACACACACACACACTCTGCTGCTACTGACAACTCCATAGAGACTAAAAGTGTTTACAGAACTGTGAGGCAGCCCCTCCAAGAAACTGTCTCATGGGTCCCCTTAGCTGTGACAGGCAGACCTCTAGGACTCCTCTGGGCAGTGGGGCCTCCACAGCCAGGATGCTCAGAAGGAGACAGGAGCATGCACTGCCAGTCAGTGTTGGGAGGGTGGAAATTGATGCACCTTTTGGAGAGCAGTTTGACAGTTGAAGCCCCAAAGCCTTAAAAAATATTCACAACATTTGCCCCAGCAATTCCTGTATTTATGAACATTGCCAGATGGTTCCAAAACAAGTTATTTGACAATATGTTAAAGGAAACATGTTATTTGACAATAATGAAAAACTAGAAATAACTGCTATGTCCAACAGCAGGGGATTAGCTAAATAAAATACGGTGGTGCATCCATGCTGTGGAATACTGTGTAGTATTTTTAAAAATCAAATTGTAGAAATGTTTACATACAACAGAGAAGTCAAGAGAAAAAGGTATGTGTGTAGTATAAGTTCCAATATTTTAAAATAAGCATATTTGAATTCGTGTGTGGATTAAAGAAATCTATCAAGATATTCTCATTGTATGTTTGTAGTACAAGTGGTTTTTATTTTCTTCATCATACCTTTTGGTACTTAGGAGTCACAGAATACTGGATTGGAACCCCAGACTCCACGACATACTAGCTGTGTGACTTTGTGTAAATTGGTGAATTTCACTGTCTGTTTCATCCTTTGTAAAATGGGGATGTTGATGACAAGAATTGTACCTTCCTCAAATGGTAATTGGGAAAATCAAATAAGTAAATACACACAAAAGTGCTTAGAATGTAGTGCCTAGTTGTAAATACCCACTTTGTTAGTTCTACTTATTATTATTTTTTACATTTTGTTTTGCTGAACATTTAACACTTTTTATTCAGAAAAAAAAATGCCCTAGTTTTAAACTGAGAAAAGGGGTCAGGCTCTTGGACGGAGTGTAGAACAGTGAAAGAGAATCGTAAATACCACTCTATTACCCACCGTCTGCCCTCAGAGTTAATCCTCAGGATGGACGTTGGGTAATTAATCCTTATAGTTTACAGACCAAATTCATTTGGGTCCAAATTACCTAGCAAATTAAGGGAAAGAAAGAACTTTAAAAATTTTTTTTTGGTACTGAGGGTTGAAACCAGGGGCACTCACCACTGAGCTTTATCCCCAGTCCCTTTTATTTCTATTTATTTTGAGACAGGGTCTTGCTAAGTTGTTGAGGGTCTCTCTGAGTTGCAGAGACTGACCTCAAACTTGAGATCCTCCTGCCTCTGCCTCCCCAGTCATGAACGACGGGCCTGTGCCATCACCACGCCTTCCAGGAAATAGCTTCATGGAATGATGAGATGGAGGGTGGGAAACCCTTGAGACTTGTTGGTCCTCCTGCTGGTTGGCTTCTGGATGGGGAAGTGGGGAGGTCCAGGTACAGTGGGGAACAGGACCGCGGGTGTGACCCAGAGAGGAGAGTCCCTGTGGAGCACGGCCCCCTTTTCCATCAAACGCCTGACCTTGACCCCGGGGACCTTGCCCATTGTGCGGGTGTCTGCACAGTGCCCGCTGTGGGCGAGCACTGGGGGTAGGGTCGTTTGACCACCAAGAAGGTTGCTTCTGGTGTAGGGTGAAGATGGTACCAGTTGTGACGCCCCTCTATGCCGCCCTGCTGTGCTAACACTCAGGGTGAGCTGTCCTCTGGTTCTCAAGGTCAGCTCCGCGGCTGCCTTCCTCTCCGTGTACCCATGAGGGCTGGAGCCCCAGAGCTGAGTTCCCTGGCCCAGGGTCAGACCTTACCGCCTTGTGCCTGGGGTTTGAACCCAAGGCCACCTGCTGTGGAGGCTGAGGTCTAACACCCACCACCTCCCTGGTCTTCTAGAGTCTGCATGGCTTCCTGGGAACTTCTGCCTTCAGGCCTGACCCCTGCTTTTCACCCTGCATTACTACCCAGGGGAGCAGCCGTTCCCTTGCCCACTTCTGCCAGTCGAGAAAGACTTTTTCTTCCTAAGGATAAAATATGTATATACATATATTTATTTTAAATATTATTTAAATATATATTTATTTTAAATATTTTCATCGACACATAAAAATTGTAACTATTCATCACATATGAGATATTTGGAAATACGCATTCACTGTGGACTAGTCCCATTAAGCTAATTAACGTACAATTATTGACTAACACCAAACACTTCTCCCATGTGCTAGTGAATTTCCTGAGTCGGATGCCTGCCTCTACAGACTGGCAGGCCCTAACCACCTCACATGCCCATTTCCATGGTGGCACATTTTTAAAAGATTTTTTAAAATTCTTTTTTTTTTTTTTTTTTTAGTCTGAGGTGGTGGCACATTCTGGTAATTTCGGCAACTGGGGTTGGGGGAGCTGAGGCAGAAGGATTGATTGCAAGTTCGAGGCCAGCCTCAGCAACTTAGTGAGGCCCTAAGGATTTCATGAGACCTTATCTCAAAATAAAACATAAAAGAAGGACTGGGGGTGTGGCTCAGTGGTCAGGCTACCTTGGGTTCATTCCTTGGTACTAAAAAAAAAAAAAAATATTTTTTAAATTGTGGCAAAATACACATAACATAAAACTTACCATCTTAACCCTTTTAGTGTACTTATTTCATAGGGTCAGATACATTCCAGTGATCCCTAGAACTCTTTTCACCTGTACCCACCATACAGCGACTTTGATTCCTCAGCCCACTCTTCCCTCTCCCTCTCCTCGACTCGGCTGCTCTGAGTACCTCCTATGTGGAGTCAAGCAGCATCTGTCCTTTCATGCCTGGCTGGTTTCACTTAGCACTTGGTCTTCAAGGTCCATGTGGTAGAATATGTCAGAGTTCCCCTCCTTTTTAGGGCTGAGTAATATTCCATTGTATGTGTCAGCCACACCTTGTCTGTCCCTTCATCCATCATGGACGCTGGAGCTGCTTCTGCTTTTCCGATGTCATGGAGAATGCCGCTGTGAGCGTGGGTGTCTGGGATGGGGCTGCTCAACAGGAATTTTTTTGTCACAGTTTGGGAGGCTGAGGCATCCAGGATGAAGGCCCTGGCAGATTCTATGTTATAGCAGGTGGTCTGATTGCTGTACCCTCACATGGTGGGAGGCCAGAAGAAGTTCTCTGGGCCTCTTGTATAGGGGCGCTACTCACCTTCCCCAAACCCCACTTTCTAACACCATCACCTTGGAGATAGGCTCCAACACAGGAATGTGGGGGACACCAATAGCTTTTGGTGCAGCTCCCTCTGAGGGCTTGCTTCCATTCTTGGGGTGCATGTCAGGAGGAGGAACTTCGGGGTCCCGTGGTCATTCTGCGTAAGTCTCCAGGGGGAGCTGTCGAGCTGCTTCCCACAGTGGCTGTCCACAGGTCCCGGGGTCATCTGGAGGTGCCAGGCTAACCTGTCGGTCTCCCTCCTCTCTCGGGGCACAGGCCAGTCCATCGTGGGCTGCAAGGCCATCCTGATCGAGGACCAGGTCTTCGTGGTGGTGGCCCAGCTCTTCGGCGGCTCCCACATTTACAAATACGACGAGAGCTGGACCAAGTTCGTCAAGTTCCAGGACATAGAGGTCTCGCGCATCTCCAAGCCCAATGACATCGAGCTGTTCCAGATCGACGCGGAGACGTTCTTCATCATCGCGGACAGCTCCAAGGCCGGCCTGTCCACCGTGTACAAGTGGAACAGCAAGGGCTTCTACTCCTACCAGTCGGTGCACGAGTGGTTCCGCGACACGGACGCCGAGTTCGTGGACATCGATGGCAAGTCGCACCTCATCCTGTCCAGCCGCTCCCAGGTCCCCATCATCCTCCAGTGGAATAAAAGCTCCAAGAAGTTCGTCCCCCACGGTGACATCCCCAACATGGAGGACGTGCTGGCTGTGAAGAGCTTCAGGATGCAGAACACGCTCTACCTGTCCCTCACCCGCTTCATCGGGGACTCCCGGGTCATGAGGTGGAACAGCAAGCAGTTCGTGGAGATCCAGGCGCTCCCCTCCCGAGGGGCCATGACCCTGCAGCCCTTCTCCTTTAAAGAGAACCACTACCTGGCGCTGGGCAGCGACTACACCTTCTCACAGATCTACCAGTGGGATAAGGAGAAGCAGCTGTTCAAAAAGTTCAAGGAGATCTACGTGCAGGCCCCTCGTTCCTTCACCGCCGTCTCCACGGACAGGAGGGATTTCTTTTTTGCATCCAGTTTCAAAGGGAAAACAAAGATTTTTGAACACATCATTGTCGACTTAAGTTTGTGAAGGGTGACGGGTGGGTTTAAAAGACTTGAAGTGTGAGCCCTCAGAAGAGAGGACCGGGAAGAAAAATAATAAAATACAATAAGCCAGGCTCAGAGCTCTGAAATGACAATCTCAATTGCACTGGGGAAATGTTAGAAGTTTTCCAACTTTTAGGACTCACATTTTAATCAGGGATTGCATTTATTGGCTAACCGCATGAGATGCCCATTCTACCATTTAAAAAGACATCTCAAAACCTGTAATTTCTGAGAGTACAGCATATCCTCTTGCCATCTAGAAAGTAATGTGCTTTTTTTTTTCTTTCTTTTTAATGAGGAAGGAGAAAATTGAACAAGATGGGATAGCTCTTATAGCAAAATTAAAAAAAAAAAAGGAAAAACAAAAAGAAAAGGAAAACCAAACCCATGGACCCTTCTCATTTCATTTCAGCAATCTTTTTGGTAAGAACTGTTAAAGCCAAAGTCAGCTGAAAAGATTTGCTGATGATTAGTTTAAAAATCTTAAACCACTCAGCAGTGCTATTTTGAGCCATCCTAGTTTCCTGAAAGGATCGCCCAGCCTTCCCGCGTCCTCCTGCATTCCAGAACCTTGGCTCTTTGTTGGCTTATACCGCGGGATATTTATCCTGGGTGTGTTCACAGTGTAAAGCTGGACATTGCTTGCTCTGCCGCAGAGACAACGTCTGGCGACACCTGTCCAGGCCCAGCATGGGCTTCGGGCCCAGCAGTGAGACAGAGGACTTCCTCCCTCCCCTGGCGTGGTTCAAAGCTGACCCTTGTGGGGGCCGGAGCAATAATGCTTGCTTGATGTGCTCTGTGACTCCTCTGCTTCCCCGACCCCTCCTTTGTGTTGTGGGTAACTAGCAGACAGGCCAAAGACTGAAAGGTGCTTTTTACTCTGTCCTTTAGTGGGGCGGAGCAGCTATTGCCATCTGATGTGTGTTTGGTAGAGTTTTTGAAGTGAGAATTTATGGAGTCCAAGGGGACTTTTCACAGATCTCATTGTGCTTTGAAACCCAGAGGTGGCCCTTTGGTTTGTGCATGTCTTTGCCCTTTGGGCAACTTAATATTTCAAGTGATTGAGTAGGAGCCTGCCTACCTGCCCCCAGCCTACCTCCCTCCTCCTAGGACAGTCCTGCCCTGTTGAGTTGCTGGTCTCGATGCCCTGCTGAAGGTGCTGCAGCCATCAAATCACCAGCTGGGTGTTTATAATGGGAACGCACCCTCTTCTCCTAGTGCTTTAGCAAGGAGTCCCCTGGAGCCCCACACTCGGCAGAGGGCCACATTGGTGGTGGGACATCATGGACAGGCAGGACTTCCAGGCTGAGCAGGAGAGAGCAGCTAGAGCCAGACTAGCTCAATCCCATAGACAGGTCTGTGCTCGGGGACCAGGTGGCCTGTCTCAAACTGGCTTCTGGTGTGGATATCGGGGAAGCACATGGGTCTGCTTTTGTGGGAGTGTCCTAGGGGATGTTCTTCCTGGGTGGCTGCTTCTCTTCAGAGGGTAGGAGGTGGATGCTTTAGTCGGAGATTTGCAAAGAGTACCCCAGCAACTCCTTCTAGCCCTGAAATTCTCAATTGCAGGGTGGGATTAGGTTTTAACGATTATTGGCCACATCATGAGTAGGTGGATGTCTTGCCACAAATGTGAATGTGTTTGTTGTTTTTAGACTTTGAGCAACGCAGACTGAGCAGTCAATGGCACTCAGAGAATGAGACGCTGGTGTTGCATCAGCACTCTTGGGAACATTCTGGAACCGCAGGCCAAGGCTTGCAGCCCAGGAAGCCGGGGGTTGAGGGAACCAGCACACCCACGGTCCAAAGTGTGGTTTTTGCAACTCTTCTACTAAATACCAAGCAAACAGAGGAAAGTGGTTTGTTTTCATTTTTGAACACAGAGCCCTTTTCTGCATTCTTTACAGTCTTGTTTTATTTGAATGGCCTACAGATGCCCAGATCTCCACATCGCAGGCTGCAGGTGGGACAGCTCTGCTATTGCTCCAGCAGTGACGACAGGCCAACTCTTCCCGGTGCATGGAACCCCTCAGACAGGCCAGGGTGGAGAAACAGGCCCTGGGCAAGCAGTAAGGGGCCACCGAGACAGTGCCTGCCTTTGTACCAGGTTGAAAGGATGTTCCAGGTTCCAGCCATTAGTTCATAGAAGAGGCAGATGGGACATCTTTCTGCAGTGCCACCTCAGCGTGGTAAAGCTGTGGACTGGGCACCTATACTCACCACACTGGGAACCATTGCTTAGCATTGGAGAACCAGGGAGCAGCAGGTGCTGGGCTTGGGGTGGGGGCTTGTTGAGTCCAGACGGGGCATCAGGAAGTAAAAGAAAGATCTCAAAGGTGGTGGGGGCAGGGTGTGAGAGGGTAGGTACCGTAATCCAATTTTCTTTTTCCTTTTTACAAAAGCTTATACAAGACTGGAGTCTGCAACCTGTAGTTCTAGGCTGTGGGAGGAGAGATTTGTTCTGGCTAAACTATCAAGGGAGCCTAGATGTTCTTGGCATAAGGTGGTAGAAGTTCTGCTTCATTAATTTGACGGCCCCATCCCGAGAATCCCTGGAGTTTTAAGCAACTTCTGCGAGAAGCTTTTCTCCAGTAATAATGTAAAAAACAAAACAAAAAAACCCACAAGCAAGAACCAACCAAATGAGGCCCACAAAAGCCCAAAGCGGAGAGACAGGTAGGAGTGCCACTCATGGAGGTGGCTGGAGGAGGGCCACTTGTCATCATGGGGTGGCCACCTGCTCAGCTTGTCTGTTCCTCATGATCTCTGTGGCTAGGCTACTGCACTGGTCCCTCCTCACAGCCATGTGGCTTTAAGGCCACCGCCTTAAAGTGGGGACTTGTCCCCAGACCCCGTGGGGTGGAAAGTGGGTCTCCATAAAGACTTTAAAAACCCCTCAGAAGGGAAGAACACTGTGTTCATGAGCAGTGCACAAATCACCTTGCATTTCAGCAAAGCTTTATGTTTTTTCCATGTACATTCATAAATGATTCTTCAGCTTGGAGGGCAGGTGTTCTGATTTCAGAAAGAGGGACATAACACACAGAAGCTCAGAAGATTGCCTGCCTCTGGTTATCAGTAGTGAGGGGCAAAACTGGAAGTTTTCCTCTGACTGGCAGCATTCCATTTTTTTTTTTAACTCTGTGACATTCTGCAATACCCTCCCCACAAAAGACCTTCATGTTATCATGATTGTGCAACAGCAGCATCTTTGGATAAATAAGAAGTGTCACAAAATATCCATAAGCCAGAAAGAACACCATACCCCACAGACACCGCCCATCCGCTGGTTCTTTTTAACAATGAACAAGCTTCGTGAAACTGCTATAACAGGAAAGGCCCATTCTTGAAAGTCTTCCAGAAACTTCCTAGAGTCTTCTGTTGTCCTGGAGGATCTCATTTTGGCATGGTGGTGTCTCTTCCCACGTCGCTGTGGGCGGAGGCTGAGGTTTGGACACAGTCTGCTTCTTGTCACACCATCCACCAGATAAACAAGAGGAGTTTGGTGAGAGAAAAATTAAAAACCCAAATGTACGAGCAGTGATGAATTGTTCTGGGCCCTCGTCAGCCTTTAGGGAGCTCACTGAAAATGACAGAGTTGCGTTTTTTCCTCCCCATGGAGTGAAATGCTGGGTATTTTTAGGAAAGAAATCAATGTGGGGTGCAGAAGGTTTGGCTGCCAGGAGTGCTCACGATGGAAATTTCTCTGGCAAGTGGTAAAATGAGAGACGAGGTGCTCAGGAGGGGAGTCTGCTTGCATGCTGCCTAAAGAAAATCTCTGCAGCAGGCTTTCTGCTTCTGCAGCGTCTCAGCTGCAGAGTTATCAGCTCCTCGTTCACAGCTTTGGAAGGCAGCTCTTTAGTTAGACAGTGGCCAGGGATTCCACTCAACAGGGCACTGGGGTGGAAAGTGCGCCGCCCAGGACATCTGCAGGCTGGGTTCAGGCTAGTTGCAGATGCCACGGGAAAGGTGGTCCATATTTGGGGACCACGGAGAGGCAACAGGAAGAAATTCAGGGCAGATGGCCTTGAAGGAAAGTATCTTGGGAAAATAGAAACAAACCTGAAAGAAAAAAATTCTCATGATTTCCTTTTCCTCAGCCAGGCAAGCAGAGGGTAGGATGACCAGGCCAATGAACAGCGTCCCAATGGTTACGGAAGATCACCCATTGTGATGCTGATTAAAATAAGAATCACATTGTAAGGCTTCTGAGATCTACACAGAGCGACTGTACTCCATGGCTTGGGTCAGAATCCACCTTTTTCTAGTAGGTAACTATGCATTCCCTATTCATCCTTTTGACTATCAAGAATGTATAAGAACTGTGATAAAATAGACCAATATGCCATTTGATACTGTTTTATGTATTTTAAATGCATAACTTAGGTAACATAAGAATAGTTTATATGCATATGAAAGTAAGTTTTGCAGTATGCAGGCAACAATGGATACATTTTAAGGCTGTATCTGTATTTAGCTCTTTTTGGTAAATAGAGTTAACAAATGATATGCCTCTTAATTCAATCTATGCTGTAATCCTATGAATAAAAAGTAGTTCATGCCTGATACAGCTTTGATCTCTGGTCTTCTTGAATGTGGATGTGTCCATCTGAGTCATCGAGTTGATGAACAGGTGGGATAGGGTATGGGGGTGGGAGGGGACAATAATGTGTTTGTGGTGACTTCCTATTTAAATGGGAGATGGATACCACAGGGGCCGTTTTTCTTCTTCTTTTGGAAATACAAAATTCACAAAAGTCACTAAAAATTCCCTGAGGAACCCCATAGTGCACCTCCACCTGCTCCGTGGACTCGTGTTCTTGAAGGGTAGAATGAGATCTCTAGGAACCTTTGGGTCCCTTCAGATTCTGCCTGATAATAAGAAGTAAGACCACAAGATCTCAGGGGTGGCACCAAACCCTGAACTCCTCGAGGGCAGGACCTTTGACTTAATCCTCTGCATGTCTGGGATCTAACCTGGCACATAGTAGGTACACAGAAATGGTTGCCCCACATATCTTAATCTAAGACCTTTTGAGTTTAATTGGACAAGGGAAGGGTTAAGACCCCAAATCACAGGTGAGTGTACCTACTGTGTGCCAAGTACGTTGATGTGCTGTGGGGCTAAAAGCCCAAGAACAGAGCTCTGGACCTCATGGGACTTACCATGTTGTTAAGAAAGTTACAGTTAGGCTGGGGTTGGCTCAGTGGTAGAGAGCTTATGTAACACATGTGAGGCCCTGGGTTTGATCCTCAGTACCACATAAAAATAAATAAAATAAAGCTATTGTGCCTAACTACAATATATTAGGAGGAGGAGGAGGAGGAGGAGGAGGAGGAGGAGGAGGAGAAGGTCACAATTACACAAAAGCTCTGGTCAACAATACAATCTCTAGATAAAATTCTACATCATAGAGCTCTGTGTGATATTTAGGATTGATGACCAAATACCGAGTGACCGGTCTGACATGGCAGATTGTTGTTTTCTGTTGCTATGTGACAGAGGACCACAGCACCTGTTCATTAGCTCCCATGTCCTGTGGTCAGGAGTCCAGCCTAGGCTTAGGGTCTTAGGGTCTTCTGTTCAAGATTATCATGAGGCTGCCATCGATGGGTCAGGCTGTGTGTGATCACTTGGAGGTTCCACTAGGGGAAGGTCTGTTTTCTAGCCCATTCAGCTCTTGGTGGAATTGGTTTCTTTGTGACTGTGAGACTGGAGTCCCTGTTTTCTTGGGGGCTGTTGGTTGAGGCCTCTTGTGGCTCCTGGAGGCCACCTAGTTCCTTGCCATGTGGCTTCTCCACCAGTTCTCTGACCACTGACTGTAGCCCCTCAGGTCATCAGCAGCCCTGGAAGTGATACCCTGTCCCCTTTGCCCTGCTCAAGGGAGAGCATTTGTCACACCTATTCATGGGTTGGGAGGTGCGTTCACTGCAGACACCAACCCCACAGGTGGGATACCAGCTGCTCAGAGAAGTCCCACCTGCCCACAGCCCTGCCCAAGGACCCAGCAGAACAGGAGCCATGAAGGCAAGTCACAAATTCCCAGGAGAAAGGGTCACCTCAGCCAGAGGGAAGGGCTGGTTCCTTCCTGTTCTTGTTTCCCCATTAAACCACTGCTCTGTGTTTGTGGAGAAGTTCACGAAAGAACTAGACTTTCCGGAATTTCCTCTGAAGTCAGGGGCTCATTAAGGCTGAGGCTGATCTCAGTGCATTTGTCTGGGAACTGGAGTGCTCTGTGGGGTCACCCAGCCCCAACTAAGGCAGGGACCCATACTTACTTTCTCAGGGAGCTAATTGAGGCCTCACTGTCTGAGAAGAATGGGAGGCACCAGTAACGTGTCCCCTTCCTTGATCCTCTGTCCTTGCCATTGGTTTCTTACCTGTCTCACCGACAGGACAACCTTCAGCCAACTGGGTCTAATTGGCACAAATGGCTGTCCCCAGCAAATTGGTAGCAGAGGGGAGACGAGAGGCCCTGGACGAGCCCCCACCTCCTGGCCTCTCCTCCAGGCAGCCTCTCATTATACGTGAACTTCTGTTCCCACCTCGGGGACGGAAAGACTGCCCCAGATTCCCCCACTCACATGTGCCATCTACACCTCAGGGCACACTTCTGCAGGTGTCCCAGGAGACTTCCGGAAGACAGGAAGGGAGGACAGCTAGGCTTCCTTCACATTCCAAGAGAGGATTGCTAGGGCAGGGAGGGCAAGCCTAGCCACCGTGCCCACTGCACGCCATCCACCACCCAAAGTGACAGCATCTCTAGTTGCAGGGCCGAGAGATGATTCCAGGTGGTGTCACCTACTGTCAGTTCCACCATCTCCCAGTTTGCTTCCAAGGGCAGTGAGAGCCAAAGGGCACATGAAAATAGGAGCTGGGCTTCTGGAGACAGTGCTCTGGATACTTGTCCTGTCCTGGGCTACCCCTCTGCTGTGACTCACCCCCAGGGTCCTGTGTGGTTTTCTCATCATCCATCTAAGAATTCCGGACACACAGCAACTCCATAGTAGTTGTAAATCTCAACTTTACATCCTTTTCCTGCCCCTTTGGTTTATAGCATCTTGGCTCATAAATCATGTGAAAATGCAAATTAATTTTTTCATTTGATTTTTTTTTAGCTAATTCTAAGTACCCCCTAAGTGGTCAGTGCTGTGTGAGTACAGAGAATGGGAACACCTTAACAGAGACAAAAGCATTTAAGAATCTTGAGGAACAGTGGTTTCTTGCTATTTCACGTGTGGCAGGAATTCTCAGGGAGGGTCAGTGTAACCGGAGTAAATACCAGGACCCACACTGTCCAGTCTCACCACAGTGCAGCACTTAATGAAACAGCTCCAAACCTTGCAGTAAGTACAAGTGATTCTGGAAAAAGAGGGAAACCTGTTCCTAGCCGTCCAGGTGCTGCTCCTGATGTCGAGGATCCCCAAGCCCCCGGCCTTCCAGCAGCCTGCGTCCATCAGCAGCCCCCAGGCCTCATGCCTCACTCTTCCCCAGACTCTCTGAACGTCACCCTGCATCCGCGCTGGCCCCTTCCTTTTCGTACCTCAGCTTCCCCACGGCAGAGGGGAAGGCTCTCCAAACGCGCAGACACCTGTGTGTTATTCCTGCTATGGTCAATTTAGCAAATTTCAGGATCCTTCAGCCTGAGCTCCTCCCCTTTGAACCAAGTTACTTGTAGGGTTTTAATTTTGCTCACAGATTTCTTGGTGCTCCTCTCATCAAGAGGTGGAGGCCAATTTCCCACCCCTGGAGTGTGAGCCGTGCTTGGTGACTCCCTGTGAAGGTGAAGCAGAAGGCAGAAGTGCAGGGCTGAGCCTTCCTGGAATAGCCCTCAGAAGGCATTTGGGTGGGCGTGGTGAGGCACGCCTGTAATCCCAGCAGCTCAAGCAGCTGAGGCAGGAGGATCTTGAGTCCAAAGCCAGCCTCAGCAATGGCAAGATGCTAAGCAACTCAATGAGACCCTGTCTCTAAATAAAATGCAAAATAGGACTGGTGTTGGGAGTCTTCAGTAGGTGAGTTCCCCTATAGGGTATCCAACTTCAGATGGGCTACACAGGGGCTTTGACTGTGATTGTCCTGCAAACCTCTGATGCCCAATCTGGAGGAGAGAACACACCCCACCACGACCTTCACAGTCACAGTGGACTCTCTGGAACCCGGTTCATGAGCAAGAGGTACTGAGGGGTGGAAGAATAGGCACTCCCTTCTCCCCCCACCCTCTTAACCACCCTTGTCCCTCTCCTGACCTATGAGGGCCTCTTCTTCCCTCTCTTCAGACTCCCCCTTATTAAATTCTGCACACAAGATTGGCCTTACTATCAATTAGACAATCAAAGTCAATGGCCCCCAGGAGGATCCCTAGATCCCGAAATTCTCAGAGATCTGTTTGACTTCTGTGAGTGCTCGAAAAAGTGGAAGGAGATCCCCTATGTTGAGGCTTTTTCTCTTCTTCATTCTCACCCCGACCTATCCGGCAGATGAACCCCCTCCCTACCGACCTCCCCCGTCGGCTCTGTCTAGCCCCTCAGGTGCTCCCCCTGACTCGGCCGACACCTTTAGTTCCCCCCAGACTAGGTCCCGCCCCTAGTCCCACAAACCATGGCCCCTTTAAGAGAGGTTGCTGGACCTGAGGGCATTATCCGGGTACATGTCCCATTCTCTATGAATGACCTCACGCAACTCGAGTGAAGGTTGGGCTCATTCACCACAGAAGAGAGTTTCAAAGGGTCCTCCAGGTTTATAGCCTGGCTAATACTGGCTAATACTCTCCTTCTTGAGGAACGTACCAGAGCCCATGCAGATGAAACTCACCTAGTTAATTGCAATCACCCTCTGGGGCCACTTGCTGCCCCAGATCAAACTCCCGACTGGGATTATAATACACAAGCTGGCATACAGAGTAGGGACCGATTCTCGGCATGTATTATTGCTGGGCTCAAAACAGCGGCACGTAAGGCTGTCAATTTCCAACAATTACAAGAGACCCCACTGGGATTTCTGGATCGGCTTATGAAAGCCCTTCAGACTAAACTAGATCCCCAAATCCCAGATGGCCATCATGTCCTTATGACATATTTCCTCTCGCAGAGCTACCCCGACATCTGGGCCAAACTAGAAAATCTCGAACAAGGGCCTGCCACCCCCCAGACTGAGCTCTTGGCGGTAGCCTTTAAGGTTTTTATGCTCACCCAGGCCCTGCAGGGTGCTCCCTTGGGTTGCTGCCCATCACCGAAAACCCCCCTGGGTGCCTGCTTCAAGTGTGGCAAGGAGGGACATTGGGCCAGGGCATGCCCTGCACCACGCACTCTGCGTACCCCATGCCCTAAATGTCAACAACAAGGTCACTGGGGCTCTGACTTTCCTAGATCCTGTAGGAGGCCTATGGCCAGGGAACCCTCCGACCTTCTGGGCATGGCAATCGAAGATTGATGGTGCCTTGGGTCCTTGTCCCCGGCTGTAACAATCAATAGACAGGAACCCAGGGTGCAGATTCAGGTGGATGGATGCAAGGTTGACTTTCTCCTTGACACCGGGGCTACCTTCTCAGTCCTGACAGAGTTCTGGG